AGAGAGAGAGAGAGAGAGAGAGAGAGAGAGAGAGAGAGAGAGAGAGAGAAAGAAAGAAAGAAAGAGAGGGTACACGAAATGGGGTAGCGAGCCTCAGATGACTAATTTGATGATTTCTCCATTTTCTCTGGGAAAATATCAATATTTTTAACGTGCGTGCAAGCACACGTGCTGTACGTACGTGTGTCGGTCTAAATAAATTATATAATTTCTTCGTTAGTGAAACGTAAACGCAGAGACTCTTTTGTACGTAAAGTTTCCATGTAAAGTTTTCATACGCATTAAAATATTACAACTTTAATCGTAATATCGCAAATAAAAATTACTTTTTGAAGACTTGGAGAATGTGATTGGCAATTTTTTTTTCTCTTTTATTTCATATGGGAACGCAGTGCCGAGAGAACAATGTCGCAATTGTCCAGCTCGTTGTCTTCCCCACAGCCGGTCGTCTCTTCACGGTAAGTGCGCGAAAACAACAGAGCGAAATTGCTACTTGCGCCGCGTCGCCCCAAGTGGAATCGCGATGACGCGAGTGATTCTCGAACGGGTTCCCGCACCGGTCGCGACGATGTGCTCCACGTTACGCTCCGACAGAGGCAGTCGGGATCGCCTCCGTGTGCGAACGAGGTATAAGGACAACTCTTGACTAGTACACCGCGCGGCTCTACGCGCTTTACCATGAATATTCAATCATGTAAATGCACACGCGGAGTCGGTCCATTACCTCGTCGTACTTGGATCTTTTGTAATTTACGACAGCCGCGTAAGTTAATTGACTCGGCGACGACGCAAACCGTGACGCCCCTCTCTCCTCCTCCTCCTCCTACATTCGAACATTCCATAAGACGCTCACGACGAGCTTCCAATATCGAGGCATCGATCTTTTCCCATGCTTTCGATACCGAGTACTCTCAGTAATGGCATTCTCTTCTCTCGATATCAGCATTATCGTAGCAGAAAATACCGGCGCGCCGTCTTTCAGTCGAGGAGTCTCGAGCGGAGAATTCGCGATATCGAGAGTAAACAGAGGTATCTCTCTATTTTATTAAATTTCGTTGTCTTTAATCTTGAAATAACGCGCGAAGTGTTTGCGCGTTATTCTTTTTTCGCCCTCGAGATCAAGAAAGCGAGATAGATAGATAGAGGGAGAGAGTGTGCCTACGAGAGCCGCTTAGAACAGTCGCGTGCGAGTCCCAGAGTGTTTCCCATGGCAGTCGACGCAGTCATCAGGTACACTCCGCGCCTCTTACTTGGCGACAATCATTACCGTCCCGATGACTCCGCGGCGCGCGCTTTAATATTTACTCTCTTTCTCGAGCACCCTTGCGTGTGGCTCATCGTGCATCGCCTCATGGCTGAACGCCGTTCGGTGGCTCGTCAATATGCTTCGATCCTTTTTCTCTTTCGCTAAGAGAGGGTGGCGGATATCCGCGCGACCGAGGGCAGAAAGAGCGAGACAAGCACGGGGAGGTGGTTACACGGCTAACAAGTAAGAGAGCACCACGAGAGCGCGCGAACGTCCCCGTTCCGCGTCGCACGAATTGAAAGTGGAGTTAATTGATCGGAAGTCTTGAGGCCGCACGTGCCGGTTTTCGCCATTGTGCCCGACGTGTTCCGCAGCGATCCGTGTAAAATCGAGTCGACGTTGCGCAGCCGGGAACGTACGAGCGAATGAACACACTCGTTCGCGCACACAGAATAATATTTTATTTGGCCGGATGCGCGTCGCACGCCCGTGTCGATTCTGTCCGCCGAGTGTAAACGCCCATTTGTTCGCGTAATAATGCGTTGATAGCAGTGCAATCACGTGCCAAGCCCTTCTGAGTCGAAAAGTTCTAGCCTCACATTAATCCGGTCGAACCTGAGGGTTTAGTGGACAATCTCGATACGGGATTATATAATACGAAATAATAACGGTTAAAAAGAAACTAAAAGGAAACTAGAGAGTTTAAGGTCAAATTCTCAGCGTAAGAAGCATTATTAGATATGCAAATTAACGCACGTTCGCGAGACTTGGGCCCAAGTTTTCAATAGTAGTTCAAACTCTGTTCAAACACATCAAATATATTGTGTTAAAAACAGACTTTGAACTTAATTCTAAGTTTAAAATAATACTGAAAAATTGACCCTTAGGATGTACTTTAAATTTCGCCCCGGGCGCTTCAAATTCGTGTGACGGTCCTGATACACCTCGCATTTCCGAAGTATTTCGGTAGCGTTTATTGTTGACATCTTAGGTTTGCGGATACATACGTCATCATCGGTAGGCGACTATAGTTGCCGCCGATTGTTTCGGTAATCTCGCGCGTCGCGTACTTGACCGCGTGTGGCCGTGAGCTACATTACGTCTTGAGCCGACAAGCAGTACGCGTATTAAAACGCGAAGAAAATTCATCAGCGCGGTATCAGTTATCTTTCCCGTCGACTTGTACATTAGTAGATCGCGCTCGCGATCGTTAATTGTGACGTCACGTAGCACTGGTCGCGCGTGCTAAAGTTCCAGAACAGTCGACAAGAATTGTAAACTTATTCCCTTGCGTCAGTGGTCCATCGTCGTCGCTGAATACAGAGTGATAAGAACAACATTCCAGACCTTCAAGGAGGTAAGACATACCCTCGCGTACCGCCTGCTTGTTCTCAACTTTCTATTACGTCTTGAGTTGACGTGTGGTACGCACGGAGCACGCATGTTGGTGTATTATACATCGTTCCCGTTGTGAGATTGATTAAAATATTTCGTCGGTTTCATTCCACAATTTCCATAAACAAACGCGTTACTTGTACAACACGACGGTCACGCGGAGTTGAATTTCGCGTATGGCGATACACGTTTTAAGACCGGGAATGATGGCGATTGCCACGGACACAGCGAGAAATGAAAAAGAAAAAATAAAAGACAGAGGGAGAGGAAAATAAAAACGCTCAGATAAGCTCGCGCGCATTAATGAGATTGCGAGAGAGGGAACCCGAGTGTGCTATATATAATCGAGTTTCCATTCTATGTCGAGAGGACGAGGATGAGGATGTGCAGGAGGTGTTGGGATTCAAGGGAAGATGCGCGGGGGAGGAAGTAGCCACCCCGTTTTGTAATTGCCGGTATTTATAAGCGATACCCGGCGAGTACGCCGCCGGGGCTTTCCTAAGCGTAATATGGTAATACGGGCAATGGCCCATATTGACATGAACGATGCCCGCCATTAGCGGGCCCGGCGCTGGATGACTGTTTTTAATTTCCTCGGCAAGTGAATTTCTGGCCGATGGGTAGGGTGGATATTGCCGCGTATCACTCATAATCACTTTCCTCCGCGGAATCGTCCGGCGCCTACCATTTTTTCCTCCTCTCCCTCGCTCTCTGCCGCCGATCGGACTTGTTTTTTTTCCTTCTCCTCGCGCGTATCCGCCGGCCATTTGGAACGTAAAATATGATGGGCGACGAAAGGGGACGAGACGTAATTGAATTCCGCTCGAAGGGCGCAATTAGGGAACCGAACGATTATGATGAAACAAATTCGAGAACGCGGAATCGCGCGCGCGGACGTCGCTGTCGGACACGTTGGTAATTGATTTCGAACCGGCGGACTCGATCGATCGTCCGAAATAATTCAGCGATAAACGATATTTGGGATTCGAGGGTGTGAGAGAGAGAGAGAGAGAGAGAGAGAGAGAGAGAGAGAGTGAGTGACGTGATTTCCATTCGTCGTCGTGCCGTTCAAGTACGCGAACACGGAAACGGCAGACCTGTCAATCTCGTTTGATTTCTGGAATTCGATTGGTATCGAGTTTGCTCGTTCAGTTAAGCGTAACTCGCGTCCGGCGGAACATTGTAACCGATCGTCAATGATCCGTTGGTCTCTCACACCCACACACACACACACACACACACACACGATTGGCAAGATACACGAAGATCAAAATTGCCGAGTCAAGCTTCGCGAGATTAATTTCGCTCGTACACACATTCACCCTCGATTTCACCCTAAATTCTACAAAACTCACACTTTCACTCAGATACCGATCTCCCTCGCGCGCACGTGGCCCGGAAAAGTCATTGCTACGGTAATTTCGTGCGACAACGAGTCGTCGTGTGACGAAGTGTTCATTCGGCGTGTCGTACCCCCGAAAACACCTGCGAGACTCGCCACCCGCACCCCTTGGAGAGAAAGAAAAAGAGAGAGACAGCAGAGCGTCCGCGTGTGTGTCAAGTGGCCATTAAGTCCGCCTAAAAAGCACGACATCTACGACGCCGATCTCACGTGCTAGAAATTAAATCACCATTACGACCGGTTGCGCTTACGGCAGATCCGCATCGGTGTGGGACCGCGCAGGTGTCCCGTCTCGCTGCTGCGGTTACGCCACCGTGTATAAAACTGCGATACACTCTGTAGCCCGCGTGTCTCTCTCTCTCTCTCTCTCTCTCTCTCTCTCTCTTTCCTCCCCTGTATCTGATCAGCGATTTGTCGCGGTGCCTTTTGCGGTCGCCGCGGTGTCCCTGTGTCCCGCTCCATGTGGTATCGATTAATTAAGTTAGATTATCGGGCGTCTTGCGGCCAATCACAGAGCGAACTGCAATCGAATTCCTCCCGGTCGGCCGTCGTCGATTACAATCAGTTCGTCATGTGCAGTTTTTACGCAACATACGCGCTCGCTTCCTCGTGGTTGCTGCAAGTAAAACGCAATGTGTCGAGATAAAGGAAGACGCGTAAGTCATGTACACTGTTCGCGTCGTTTCCATTCTTTCCTCTCTGTGCTCTCTGTGGAAATCGCGCCTCATCCTTCAAGTGCACGAAGTAAGCCGGCCTCGTTTGCCAGTCCGGAATCGTTAAAGCTCCCGAATTCTCTCCTGTCGAGGAGGAGGAAGAGGAGGTTGAAATGAGCGAGGAAATAAAGGGAACGGGCGACCGTCTTACTGAAGAGATCCGCGAGGAGAGCGAGAGAAAGAATGAGCGAGCCTCAGAAGGAGAGGAAAGGGGGGGAGGATGGTGGCGTTCAACGAGCGCCAAGAGTCGGAAGCCAGGGGCAACCGGGAGAACAATAAAAAATGGACAGAACGAAAGGAACCGGCGGGTGTATAGTAGCATAGGAGACGCTGAAAGAGCGCGGCGAAAGGCGAGCTGAGAGAGCGCGGGGGAAGGAGGGGAGCGGAAAGGAGACGAGAGGAGGGAGAGGGGGGAGACGTCTCTGGTACCTCGTAAATTACCGGCGGGAGAATACACCGCGGCGACCGACTCGTTTCGGGGAACATCGCGAAGGTTTATACGTTTTAATGTACTCGTTAATAGGCCTTCCCTCTCTCACCGACCCCCTTCTTCTCCCCCGCTGCCCCGTCTTTTAATCCCCCCTCAGAGAAGCTCACTCCGCGGATTATATTCCGGGAGATATATGCTGATGGAATCTTATATATGGTTTATAGAGAGTGCGCTCGCGCTGCGCTGATGAATACCATTTATATATCAACGCG